GTATGTCCCCTGCAAAAGTCATGAGCTGGAAATGGATGCCATTGCGGGAGCGCTGGGAAGTGAGTCTTTGTGAGAATCTCCCACAGATGGACAGTGGACGAAGGGCTTGGAGAGCATCTCTCTGCTTCCCACCATGTGGGGACTCAGCAAGGTCCACACTAATACTCTGACCTCGGGCAGTGGGCGAAGGGCTTGGAGAGCATCTCTCTGCTTCCCACCATGTGGGGACTCAGCAAGGTCCACACTAATACTCTGACCTCGGGCAGTGGACGAAGGGCTTGGAGAGCATCTCTCTGCTTCCCACCATGTGGGGACTCAGCAAGGTCCACACTAATACTCTGACCTCGGGCAGTGGACTAAGGGCTTGGAGAGCATCTCTCTGCTTCCCACCATGTGGGGACTCAGCAAGGTCCACACTAATACTCTGACCTCGGGCAGTGGACTAAGGGCTTGGAGAGCATCTCTGTGTTTCCCACCATGTGGGGCCTTGGCAAAGTCCACATCAACACTCTGACCTCAGACTCCTCACACCTCCACATTGTGAGAGATTCTGTTAATTTTATAATGGATTAAAAGCGTCAAGAATAAAGACATGAGACAGCCTTTCCGGCGGTGACGACCTCCCTACGAGAACATGCCTCTCGCAAAGGATCTCCTTCATCCCTCACCAGAGGAGGAAAAAAGGAAACACAAGAAAAAGCGCCTGGTGCAGAGCCCCAATTCCTACTTTATGGATGTGAAGTGCCCAGGATGCTATAAAATCACCACGGTCTTTAGCCATGCACAGACGGTAGTCCTGTGTGTCGGCTGCTCCACTGTCCTCTGTCAGCCTACAGGCGGGAAAGCAAGACTGACAGAAGGATGCTCCTTCAGGAGGAAGCAGCACTGAAAAGCACCGGATTCGAGATGAGTGGGAACCATACCAATAAACACATTTTGGTATAAAAAAAAAAAAAAAAAAAAAAAAAAAGACATGAGACAATGCTCCAGCCAGGCTCTGGCTCTTAGAGTTCTTAAATATTTTGCTTATTGTGATGTTAAAAACTTGGGGATGTACTACCAGCGTGGTCTTGGGAAAGTGCAGACTTGCTGGCCTTTACTTTCCATTATATACTATAAAGAGGCGAATACCTCCCTCCTAGGGCTACTGTAGTGATTAAATTAAGGACATACAAAGTCCTTTCATAAGAGCTTCAACACACTAATTCTTGCTCAGCTCTTTTTGCCTCTCTTTGGCTATTTAAGGGAGTCATAAGTCTATTCTTAGGGATAAGTGTACTGAACTGTTACAATTTATATTGACTCAAGTTCTCTTTTGAAATTTCTCATATCAGAAGCATGACTCAGTCACCCTGGGTACCAGGTCTACACTACATCCAAATGACTCAGGCCTATGGCCAGAGATAAGAATTTAATAACACCTCCTCTACCAGCAGTGTGTGTGCATGTGTGTGTGTGTGCATATGTGTGCACACACCACACCTGCATTCAAGAGTGTGTGTGTGTGTGTGTGTGTGTATGTGTGTGTATTTGTGTGTGTATTTCTTTAAATGAGTCACTTTGGAATTGGTTACAAATTTAAAGTTACAATCCATTCCCTTATACTTGTCACCAGTTGGCACATTTTCTGTTTTGAGTGACCTGTGAACAAAGCTGACTCACTTTCTCATAGCAGGGTCTGTAAGTAAAAGCGTTTTCCTTTCCCTGGTAATGGTATAGTGTTTGCAACCTCCGACAAACCAGAGGCTGCCTAAAGCCAGAACATTCCTGGATGCTTCGAGAACAAAAGGGTTGGGTTCTTAAGACAAGTGTTGGCCAAGTAGTCTCTGGATACGGGCCAAATGAGAGCCCCTAGGTCACCCACCAGTGTACATGTTTCCTGTGTGAAGGACCTTCTGGGTGTGCAAGGCATGGGGCTTGTGAAGGGCAGCCTGTGAGCCCCTGACTCCCAAGATCTTTTAGTGAGGGCTGCTAGAAGCTTTGGTGTTGGAACCTGAATTTAGATAATTTTTAATTGCGTTCTAGAACCCAGGGCCTTGTGCATATTAGGGAAGCTGTGTTCCTAGCCCTGGCTGCCCAACTTACCTGGGGCGTTTCAGGACAATAGAACAGCGATCCTTGATTTTTAAACAAATCAGCGGGAAAAACTCTTGAAGGTGCACCCTGTGTTTCCCCCTTTACTGCACACCTCACTAAGTCCAGGAAATTGCTTTCTAGTTTGGCAAGTCACACTGTCAGATTTAATTCAAAAGATGAATTTGCAAATCAAAGCATACACAGTGTTAATGATTTCAATTAAGAGTAAAGCGAGGGTAATTAGAGTCTGACGAAAGTTCCTTAAAGTCGTATAGGCTGGCGGTTCCCAAGTGGGCGGCTGATAGGGAGATTGCCCTCTTCCTTAGCAGATGTGGAGGAGCTCAGAAGTCAGACTGCCCAGGTTGGTATCTTGCATCCATCATTTTCCTGGCCGCATTCCTTGAGGCAAGTTTCTGAGCATCTTTGAATTTTAGTTTTCTTGTCTGTAAGATGAGGATTATAATAATTCTGATGCTATAAGGTCTCTAAAATTCAATGAATTTACTATGTAGAACACTGGTTAATTAGTAACTGTTCAGTATTTGGCTACGTTTACAATCCACTACATAAAATAGTCCGCAATAACAAACATACAGATGTACCCTGACTTGTGATGAAATCATGACCAGTTGAAAGGAGAGGGTTGCCACGTGACTGTGGCTTACTGGCAAGCTTCTAACCAGCGTCCTTCTCAGGGAGGAGAACCATGGCATCTGCCTGTCTGCCCTTCTTCCCAGCATTCAGTTCTGTCTACTCCGCCTACCTAAGTTCTGCCCTATCAAAAGGCCAAGGCAGTTTCTTTATTTGACCAATAAAAGCAACACATAAACAGAAGGACCTCCTACACCAATGACCCAATGGACCCATTATAAAGTACTGTAAGCAGAAACTTAGCTAGCCTGGTTATCATAGTATAGCAACTCTGTATACCAGAGAACATGCTTGGGAGCTGTTTATTCATGTGATTACATGGTTGCCTGGGGGCTGCTGCTCACTGTTGCTGTCCAGCATCAATGTATCAGAGTATTGGAACACACGTTATGGGCCTTGAAAAGGCTAAACAAGTCTTCAAGTGTGCTCCCTACAGAATGTGAATGCCTTTTCTACCACCATAAAGTTAAAAACTGCCAAGCCCTCCTAAATCTGTTTGACCTGACCATCTCTACTCTGATAGGATACACTCTCTTACACTGCGCTGCAGCCTGGGGCCGCCTGGAAACTTTGAAGGCCCTGGTGGAACTGGACGTCGATATAGACGCTTTGAACTTCCGGGGAGAGAAAGCTCGAGATGTGGCCGCTCGCTATTCTCAGACAGAGTGTGTTCATTTTCTGGACTGGGCAGGTAAGGAGCACATGTGATGTTAAGATGTTTGAGGCCATAGCATGAGATGATTGACATTTTTACCTTCCAACTAGATACTGTATTTTCTATTGTCAATCTATGAAGATTGCCTTCATTTTTCTTTTCTCTTTTACTTTGCTCCTAACTACCTGCCCCCCCCCCGCCCCCGGCATGTGTCTTGTTGGTTTACCAACTTCTGACAATTGAAGCAATAAATTATACAATATATGTTCAAGGTTGTTCTCTGAAAGACCTAGGCAAAGTACACTATTACCTAAACGTTTAAATATTTAAATGTTTAAATAATATATTTGTAATCAGTAATATATTTGACCCCCCAGAGAAAAAGTTGTTATTGAAAATTTAAAAAAATTATTTTCTTAGGAAAAGTTAACTTATGGTGTTAGTAACCCAAATCCCAATTACCCTATTGCACAGGAGGACTTCTGAGACCTGTTATTTTCTAAATTTGGCCCCTGGTTACATGGATATTTTGTTTATGGAAATTCATTGAGATATGCACTTAGAATTTTTCATGTCTTTTATGCATTTTCTATTTCAACAAAGTCCAAAAATCTATATGCTACCTTGAATTTTGCTCACAGTTTGCTCTATTATTCTCCAGATCTGTAAACCACAGCTTGGAAAGCCTTTAAAAAGACATACCTGTGTAACTTGCTGTGTGCCTATAGACTTCAAGTTATTTTGTACGGCTATCTGCATGCATGAGCTTAGATTAGCGAGCATTGATGGAATGCCCGCTACTGAATGTGCTAATATTGTTGTAGGCACGACTGGTTGTTTCTGCCATCTGGACAATCATCTAGAAGGCATCTAGCAATTATATAACAGTATCAGAAAGATGTGAGCATAAAGAGAAAGGTTAAAGGGAAAAACTGGCAGGAAAGGCAGTCCCTGCCCTGAGATAGAACAGGAAGCCAACTTGTTTGAGTTCAACTTGACCTTGCCAGATGAATGGGCTTTGAATACATAGTAGCAGAGCTAAGAGCATAAGTCAAATGTTAGGTCTGGAAATGAATGTAACAAGATTGCCTTACTGGAGCCCATGCCATAGCTTCCATAGTAATCTAGAGTGCTGGTGGAAAGGGTAAGCACTTGGTCCCTAGAGGATGCTTGGGTATGAATCCTATGTGAGCGTGAGCAGAGTACTCCAATTCTTTGTACCCAAGTTCCCTTCTCTGGAAGGAGGGGCCGGTGATGAATCCTTCCTTTTGAGACTTGGGAAAGCTAAATGGTGCAGTGTAAATCACATAGCAGCTACCTGTCATGATGAAAAAAAAATCGTCAGGCTGGAAAAAAAATGTTGCTGCTATAATAGCCACCAGATTATAACTTTTATGTTAAGGTGTTTTCATTTTATTATGGGAGCCACATTAGTAAGTGTGGACTATTTTGCAGTTGAATGCAAATCCAGACTTGTCTGAAAAATTTTCAGTAAAGGCTATGGCAAAAAATCCCCAAAACCAAAATACTACACCAACTTCCAAAAAAAAAAAAAAAAACCCTTTTCATCCTCAGGTAGTTCTGCTAGAGCCTTTGTACGCTTCTGTACTTGACTGGGCTACATTTGCATGTGCTTAGATTTAGAATCCTTCAGCTCCTCTCCTTTATTCTTCTTCCTCTTTACTTTATGTAGTCGCTTAACTTTTTTAAGGGAAGAATGTTGGGACACCTGCTTCAGGAACTTGGTCATCATTGATGTCGTGGTCAGCAGTCTGCAGAGGATTTGTTCAATGTCATAGATGGATGGACTCTCTAGGTCATTACCGTGTTTCTCTAAAGAGGCTTGCTTTTTCAGCTGAAAGAACAAAAACAAATGATTTTTGTTTTATTTCAAAGTGAAATGATATTCTGAAAAAGCAAACTTAAATACTACTAAGATCTACGTATCACGTATTTACACGTCACCACCAGCAAACACTGGCTAGTGTTTTCTAGGGTTAGAACATTTTGCCCAGAGAAATTAGGATGCTTTCCTTCAAGACATGGAGAAGTTGAGTCCGTTTTGACCCGATGGCTTCCTCCCTGCTGGCTAGCCCTCACAGTATTGCTGCCCTGGTCTTACCCAGCTGTCAGCCCTGTGCACTGCAGCAATGACCGGCATGGTAAGCTGTGGCATGGACCTACTAGAGTAACCTGGTCTTTCTGATTGGATCTAAGGCCTGCCTGCTCCACAGGAGGAAACACGGGGCTGGTACTGCATATCTGGCCATGAACCCATGGGAGTGGAGCTCACAGGTCCCACTGGTGAATCTACTAATATTATTTTGCTAAGTAGGCATAGTATCAAACTGCAGTCTAAACTTGTATCTCTCCCCACTTAGATCAGTGCAACTCTCTGACTTCATCAGAGACATTTCTTTGTGCAGATAGTTCATGCAGAAACTTAAAACTGGTCAAAGTGCAGAAATAAATGTGAGTGCCCAGGCAGAAACATGACATCTGTATCATACCCCTTCCCATCAGGCATCATGGGGGGCGGGCAGAAAGCCTGAAAGAGCCAGAGGTCAGAGAGGATGAGAGCAAAACAGTATCTTCTGACCAGGACAGGAATTCTGCACTCGTGAACTTAACAGCACCCATGACTGTCTGCACAAGATCCTCACAAGAGCAGGACAATGCACATCCTAGCATGGCATGGGGAAGGGCTCACAAACCCTCACCCCTCCATAAGGAACTATGGACAGTCAACAACTTCAGGGGAAGTGGGGAGCTAGTTTTCTTTAAGTTCGTGGTTCCTGGCAGGCTGACCTGAGTAAAATCACTCCGTGGTTCCTGGAACATAAAATGAGTCCTTAAGATTGTTGTTAGGATTTGGGGACAGAACTCAGTGAGCTATAGAGAGCTTCCTAGGATGTAGGAAGCCCTGGGTTTAATCCCAGAACCAAATAAATAGAAGAAAAGTGGTGTAGGACAATTCTATATTCTGTCAATTATATTTTAAATAAACACTGATTGGCTGGTAGCCAGGTTGGAAGTATAGGTGGGAAAACCAGACAGGAAGTAGAGGTGGCACAATGAGAACAGGAGTATTCTGGGAAGAAGGAGGCTCTTTACGCAGTCCTGCCCAGACCACAAAAGAAGCAAGATGTGACCTGCCTTGCTGAAAAAGGTATTGAGCCATGTGGCTAATATAGATAAAAAAGAATGGGTTAATATAAGTTATAAGAGCTAATACGAAGCCTGAGCTAATGGGCCAATCGGTTTATATCCTAATGTAGACTTCTTGTGATTCTTTGGAGCTAAACGGCTGTGGGAACTGGGCAAGACAGAAACCCCAATAAGTAGTCCCTCCTGTTACAGAAAAGTATTTTCTTTTACTAAGAAAGATCACTACATAATACAGTAATATTTTAAAAACAAGAAAACACATATTTAGGTCACTCTGAAGGTCAAGGAAGAATGTTCTTGATTGTCTTGAATTATAGTGCCATCTATTGGCAAAATTGGGAATGCAGCCCGTTTCCCACTAAATTCTAACATTTAGAAATCAGTTTAAAGCCCATTCCACTGAGAAGTTTATGCCAACTTTTGAAGTGAGCTTTGATAGACTCACAGGTTCTCTAAGAGACCCCCTTATTTCAGATCATTTTATGAGGAGGCTGAGGAAGAATATGTGACTTACCGAAGGACAGACAGGTAACCTCATTTCCTACAATCCTACCTACCACATCTCAGTATTTTGGTGTATTTGGTAACTTGAAAGAAGGAGCTGGTGGAGATAATTTTAAGGACCTTCCGATTAAACACACCTCTGTGGAACTCATAAGTGTGTGCAGGGCACTGTTAGATATTGGAAGTGGGGCAGGCGAGTGGGGAGCAGGGAAGGTTAACTTCAGAGAATTGCGTAACCTTGTGCCACCTTTGAGATGTCACAACTCCTCCCATCTGCATCGCAAATTCACCTTTCTTTGGTGTCTCGTCCATTTCATCCATAGATAATGCACAGATAAAACAAACAGAATTAAGAAGAGAGCTTGCACTAAGATGTACGTGAGGCGTAAAGAACTCTGGATTAGGTCCACGTTAGCAAAGTTGCAGCAGAATTTGTCCAGAGGGTAAGGTAGACAGTGGGATGGGGGAGCCTTAGCTTTCAGGGAGTGCACTTCCTCCGGAAAAATCTCCCATCCGACCTTCGTCCAGATTGTCCCATCACAAATGCAGGCGCTCTCTCGGAAGAAACAGAAGAACAGCAGGGGAGAAAGCACAGATCTTCTTTGGTTAGACATCTTTTTGTCTTAAGTAAGAAGAAAATCTTGAGCTGAAAAATTGGTCAGACAGAGCAGAAGATGCTAGTTAATTTGGTGCTTCTGTCAAGGCCTTTCAGATAATCCTGCTAAGGCAGCCCAGCACACCTAGCAAAATACACAGTGACGATCATTGTTACATCGTCAGTCATAGTGACTCAGGGGTAAGTTCAATGACATCATTTAAGAAAATGCACTGGGGTGAAAAGTTGTACCCAGCTAATCATCATAGGTTTCTTGAAAACGGACAATCTGCTAATGTTTTTGCCAGGGAATGTACTTAGCAATAGGCATGCAATCAAAATAATAAACCTCATGAAAACAAGCAAACACTCCCAAAGGCAGTGAGGGCTTGCTATGGAACAGCAGGAAGATTGGCTGCTTTGGACCCTGCTGTTGTATGGAAAACAGAATGAGAGGGAAAGCTTGAAAGTTTAGATGAAGATGTTTCCAAGCAAAAGGTTGAAGGTGTGGCTGGTCTTTTCTTGCTGTCTATGGTAAGATGTGGGAGGAAAGGGATAAATTACTGGAAGAACTGTCAAGCAAAAGGGGAGCAGAGCTTGGCAGTGTGGGGATGCAGCACACACAGATCACAGGACAAGCTCCTGTGGTTTGAGGTGTTCCCTCAAAGCCCCTGTGCCAAAGGCATATCACTGGAGACTGTGAGATGTGGGACCTAGTGGGAGGTCTGATCACTGGAGATGGGCCCTTGAAGTGACTGGTGGGATCTCAGTCCCTTCCTGTCCTTTGTGTTTGCTCTTGACTACAAGGTCTTGGTTCTCATACACTCCCTGTGATATTGCTACCGTGTCATAGGCCAGGCAACAGGACTAACCACCTAGAGACCGAAACCTGAAACTTGAGCCAATAAACCTTTCCTCCTTATAAGTTTCATATTTCAGTCATTTTATTACAGTGGCAGAAGTCTATTAAGAGCATAGGTACTAAATATCAAGAGAGTCCCCATCAAGAAAATAAGTTTTGGAGGGAAAGACATCAATATAGATGGACATCTTTTTGCCACTGAATTGCTGGGGAGCATGTATCATGCATACTCCCAGCCATCTCTGCATAAGTCAGGATGGGAATTAAATTATCCACAAAAGATCAGGAGGAGCCTCTTTCTGACTAGATCAATCTCTGTGATATGTAGGGAGTCTCACAAGGACTTTGAGAGCGTTACATAGATAGAAATACCATTTTCAACAAAGGGACAGAGAGAATTAAAATAAAAAGAAGAGTACTGGTCTACCAAAATTTTGTAGGCAGGAACAGATTGATAAAGCTATTCAACTGTTAGCACACACTTTCTTTTTTCTTCCTCCCTCCCTTCCGTCATTTCTTCTCCTCCTCTTCCACCTCCTCCTCAATTAGGGTCTTACTATGAGGTCCAGGCTGTCCTGGAACTCTGTAATCCAGCATGGCTTTGAAACCACAGATCTTTCAGTCTCAGCCTTTTAAGTTTTGAAATTATAGCTTTGAATCTACCAGGTCAGGTGACATGATATAATTCACGATAAGGGAGAGATGATTCAGTGGGTGGATCCTTGGGTCCAGGGGGTAAAGAAACAGGCCTGCAGGATTAGAAAGGTATCTCCAGGTCTGAAGCCAAGTGGAATCTGTATGCTATATTTTGACATTATTTTGAGCGGCAGTGTCTATGACTGTGTTCTGTGCTTGTGCCACTATTATAGTTTGGAAGAAGATAAACTGTTTCTGGCTCACCAGGTTCATGGATAGAGAAAAATTTTGGCCCAGGATGGATCACATAGAGTCTCACCCAAACCTTACACACATGCTTGAGAGTTTGAGGTTTGAAATTTCTGAGTTGTGATGATTTAGATGAGAATTCAAGTTTGAGTTGATGTGGTCATACGTGTTGGGGGTATTGGGATGGGTAAATGTGTTTTGCCTGTGAGATGCATGTGAATTGTAAGTGGATGAGAAAGAAGGCTGAATAATGGCTACCAAACAACTGGATTCAGATCCCTGAAACGTGTGACTGTTGAATCATATAGCAAAAGAGACGTTGCAGATCCTTGGAGTCCTTGATTAGGAAGATTATCCAGGTTGGGCCCACATGTAATTTGTGTCTTTATAAGCTAGGGACAGAGGGAGGATTGGCACAGAAGAGAAGGTAGCTTGATGATAAAAACAGAGATCAGAAGGATGTATTTGAAGATGGGGGAAGGGCCACAAGCCGAGGAATACGGGCGGCTCGGTGGAAGTTAAAGGCAAGGATCAGTGTCTCTGCTCAGGGCCTGCAGGTCAGCAGAATTGAACTCAGTTGTTCGACCTCTGGAACTGTGAGAGGATGAATTTGAACTGTCTTAACCCACCTGATTTCTGGATATTTGATACAGCAGCCACAGAAAACTATTTTATCACGCAGAATGTAATTTGGGACTAATCTACAATTTCTAGCATTCAGTAATTCTGTGTAAGAATATGGTAAGCCCTTTTATTTATTTCAGGCTCTTAATTCTCTCAGATTAGTATACTTTTAAGCAGATCTTGTGATGTGTGTGTGTGTTTGTGTGATGACTATGAGTATTAAAGTAAATAAAAGTATTTTAAACATTTTTTTAAAAAGAGATTTTCTTTTTAGTGTGTGTGTGTGTGTGTGTGTGTGTGTGTGTGTGTGTTAAAGCTCAAGAAAGTGACAATCTGTCTGTTGGAAATATTTTTCTCTTGTTGCTCTTTTCTCCAGAATGAACATTTAAACAAATATGACAGTTTGGGACCCGGTATCATGTTCTATATTTCTTTGGGTCTTCAAAAATCCTATTGTAATTCCAGGGACACACTGAGTGCTCTGAAGTGATGTGTCCCTGAGTGCTGGTTTTCAGAATCCTCAAAGACAGTGCCGGTGGACCTTCTACACAAACCGCACCGAGTTCTGCCTGTGCGGTGGCTGCACAGTCGGGATGCCTTGCCCTTTGTTTTTTGCCTTGTCTTATATTTTTCTGTCCTGTTCTTTCAGATGCAAGGCTGGTTCTGAAAAAGTTTATCACAAAGTCCTCTCTCATCATTACTGACCCAGAAAAGGGACCAGGAAAACTCCTCAAGGAAGACAAGGTACTATGTTGTGATTATTACCTGTCCTGATGTTCTGGAGGTAGACGGTTCTTCTTAATGCTCCTCTCCTTCCTCCTACTCCTTCCTTCGCCTTCTTCCTTCCCTCCTCTCCCTTCTTTAGTAAGCTTCTGATAAGAGAAGAGATGATACAAAGTAAATGAGGCCGATGTACACAATATCACACCTGACCACATGGGTGCGTATTAGAATGTTGTATTGAGTGAAGATTTGGAAAAACAAACAACAAACAAACCCACTAAGACTTGCAAAGGTTTTTAGAAAGCTAACCACTCCCCAACACATATTGTCAGGGACACCTATTTTAATAGTCAAACTACGAAGGGAGAAGTATGGCTTGTGCTTCTGTCTCTGGGGAAGGTAGGTGAGGAGAACTGGGAGATGTTAATTTTCTATTCTTCTGTTAGAGAACTGTGCTCCTCTGATATTCAATTCTATATTTCGCTTCAAAGCTTAAGACATACATGATACACAATCCCAGAGAACCTAGACAACAATGAGGACCCTAAGAGAGACATACATAGATCTAATCTACATGGGAAGTAGAAAAAGGCAAGATCTCCTGAGTAAATTGGGAGCATGGGGACCTTGGGAGAGGGCTAAAGAGAAGGGGAGAGGCAGGGAAGGGAGCAAAGAAAAATGTAGAGATCAATAAAAATCAATAAAATTAAAAAAGACATACATAATACACTTTTCTATGTATGTATATGTATATAATGCATGTATCAAATCTTCCATAATGAGAAAAAAGTAAAAAAAAATCGGTTTGGATATACATTAAAATTGTGCTCAATAAGTTGGGCATAGTGGCAGCCTGTGTTCCAACATTTAGGAAGCTGAGGCAGGAGGATTGCCTTGAGTTCTAGGCAAGACTGGCTGCACTCTGAGAACCAGGCCAAGGAGGGCTATATAATAAGACCCTGTATCAAAAAAGTGAATAGTTCCAGGTATTAGAAATGTGTGAGGGCTTTAAATTGCTCTCTGTGTTTCTGTGTAGGAGACATGAGAATTTGTTTTGACATTATTTGGTGAAAATGACAGTTAGCTGTTGCTTAGTGGGCATCACCAAATCTCACTAAGGCACACATTGTACTTTATCTCTTCATAAACTATTTTACAGTACTTCTTGTGAAAGAAAGTACAGGAAGCATTTGATTGGAGCAGGCACGAGGAAAGTACAGGAAGCATTTGGTTGGAGCAGGCACGAGGGCTGTTGAACCTTTAACTCATGGAGTTCTCACTAGGAAGGAACAGTGCTTTGTCAACTGTGGCTTAAAAAAAAAAAACCTTTAAATTTCAATTAAAAAAATGTACTATGGACACAGAATTAATTAGGAAAAAATGATCTTGAATGAACTTAGTTCCCTTCTTATTTCCAGTTTAATTGCCCTGGAGTTCTGATAGTGATTTTGTGTTATTTTTATCATATTTTCCTCTTCATTTTTATAAGCACAGATAATAGAGGTCTATAAAGGGCGTCTATTGCTGTAAAAGTGGGATCCTGCTATATAGATTACTATTAGTAGCTTGCTTTTTCCCTCTCTGGGTATCTTAAGGACACTTCCTTGAATCTGTCTCTTTGGCAAGCTTTCTTATCTACGGCTTATTATTTAGCACCATGGAAAGCATACACCAACAGGCTGTCAATTTTTATTCATTATTATAAATATTACTGTAACAAACACTTTTCTATTTTTAATTTTGGTTGGCACATTCTGTCTGTCTGTGTGAGGCACATGTGAGAATTGTCTTTAAGCAGACATCAGGAATGTGTGTGGGTGTGCTGTTTGGTAGAACACTATTGAAAGGAAGTAAAATATTATTTTCATGGAGTTTCCTGTAGCTCATCCCACCTGACATTTCCCCAAAGCTTTATTTGTTTTTAT